AAGGTCTGTTATCCAGGCTACTAACTGGTTAAAAACCGGTCCAAAAAGGCTGGGTTTTCTTCCACTAAAATTGGCCGTCAAAAAAAGAGTTAAAGGGGCTATGCCAAGCGATTTGCTAGTTCATTTTAAAAACCTAAAATGGTCTTCATTTCACATCAATTCAGTTCAAAAATAATGGTCCAGTTTTGTTATGTAAGACTATATTTAGGCACGGTCTGTTGCTACTGATAGCCAGGGTGGACATGGACTGAAAATTGAAAAAAATGGGCTAACTTTTTCAAGTTTAAATGCATCACCCAAAAAGATATTTTTGGTTAGTGCTCCCTTATAAAATGATATCTTCCTCATACCCCACATGTAACTCTACACTGAACATTTCTTGACTGGGTAAAGGCAGTAAGTAATGACTTCAGCACAGAATCAGCCTAAAACAACAAACATACTCGCCACATAGGGCCTCGATCTGGGATCTTCTTTCCCTTTTGTCTGAAGCTCTTTCATTCTTTACTTTGGGAAACGGTTAGGCGTAAATAAAATCGCGGATCCCACTTACCTACCTCGTTATGTTATTTAGCTCCTTAGTCGCTATCAACTACCCTGCGAGCAGAGGCCCTTCGATCTTCCTAGTTGGGAAGAGGAAGAGAAGGGTAGCTATCAACTAAATAATAATTCGATCGCACGTTCCGGTGTGAAGGCGCGAGCTGGGACATTGCGGGAACTGACGTTAATACTCCTGAGCAAAAGCAGACATTTCTTTGAACAAAACTCGGGTCTGTTGTAAACTGAGAATTGTAGTCAAGTTACGCTTTTACTCTGCGTCACCTTATTGCCCGGTTAGTAAATGGTACTTACGTCGATACAAGTTCGTTGCCGCATACTGCGATATGCCAGGGGCGTCAAGGATGACCTTTCTAATACTTCTCTTTTCAAGATGATGCTACGTTTTGCAAGCACTCGACATGGGTGGGAGTTGATTAGAGCAGCTCAAAAGAGGTGAACAAGGAGTCTTATCTTCCATGGACAAATCCTAGTCGCATCGTCGTGAAAGGGATTTACTCTGTTGGAGTACAGTTGAACCTCCATGTGCGACTACCTCCCTTAAGCGACCACCTATCCAAAACGCCAAAACCCACCCAGTTTAAGTCTTCCAGCTGGAATCTCTCCTGCAAGCGCCAGCGACCACTAATTGGAGCTGACGGTTTAATGATTTTGCATTGTTTTTAAACTCTTGTAAGCGATCCCTTGTGGTAGAAACAACATCAACATGGAACTGCACATATCGTAACTTGGAAATTGCATGCAATAAATTCTCTTCGTTAAAGTAGATGTGTCCGGTTTTCTTCTCAAAGAAACCTCCCGTGGTTCGATTCTCGTAAGAGACCACCTCCCGTTAGCGACCACTAAGTCTTCGCATTTTGGGTGGTCGTTTTCGGGAGGTTCGACTGTAGTCTCCTTTTCCAGTTCTTCGGCGGCGTCGGTTGGAACTTGCTTTGTTTCATGAGTTGCGCGTATACATTTACACACTAAGGCGCTGCTACATTATATTTTGAAATCACTGAACAAATATCCTTTTGTATCTGAAGGAAAACGCCCCTTGGCAGGTGGTACAACTCTGAGATGACCTAAAAAGGGCAGTTTTTGCGGGAAAGATGTTTCGGATTCGTTTCGGAGGAGAGAAACCGCTGGACCGTATGAACTACGATGACTTAGCTGTGCTAAATGCTAACTTTTAGTGCGTGACTGACAGGCATGCGAAATTAGTATCCCTTCTTTCTGAAAAGAAAATAAGACGAGAAACAAATGATGTTGCGAACTACGCATTGCTTGTTCAAAACAAAGTTTCCATAAAATTTCATAAGGAGAAAAAAATCAATAAAAGAAGGCGGAGCTGCTCGAGACGTCGTTGCGTGACATTGTTACTCTAACTGTTAGTTTATGACTTCCTCGCACGAGTCGAAGTGTATCCCGTTCGCAAAAAACCTCCTTCAAAATAAAATTTCAAGGAAAATATACCTACCTATTTTAGATATACCAGAGGCGAATTTAAGATGATACAGATGGATGCTAATACAAGGAAGTTAGGAAAAACAGAGACATGGGATATAGTTTACATAATAGTCCGGCGCTTTTATATAACGCTTCTTCGAGTTCGTTTTTATTTATTTACTTATTTTTTTGTGAACGGTTAATTACTCTGATATTTTAACATAAACTTTATCAAAAACGTTTTTTGCTTCGTGATGTTTCCGAACATCACATACTGACCCTGAATTGAAACAAAACCGGCTGCCGCAACATTTCTTTACAAATTTGACTTATGCAAATTTGTGACCTTTTGCCACTGGTGGTCACGAAACTGTTTATTTTGTAAAGACGAATGCGGAGTGCCCAGATTTTTTATTTCATATTCTGTTAATATAAGAGCTGAACTTTGTCCTAGTATACATTGTGGCTAGGTATCACACATACCAAGGTGAGTTTTTTGCCTCTGAAGTTGCTCATTTTTTACCCATTTTAAAAAGTGCGCTTGGTGGTAGTTTTTAAAAAACCGTAAAAAATTCAAAATCGTGTTTATGGTTTAAAACATACCACGGGTAGAAAGAAAAGATAAAATGCTTTTAAACAAAAATATTTCTGTTTTATAGCTTTGAATCTTGCCTCGGTACCGACGCGATAAAGTAGACCATTTTTACTCTAATTTTTGCATAATTAATTAGGTAAAAACCGCTATTTTCGTTTTTCCTCATTTTCTCGAACACTATAGATTCTTGAAAGTTAAAAATATTTTTTTCGAAGATAGTTCCCCAAAGGGGTTTTTCTGACAAATTATCAGAGTTTTCGATTTTTTTGGCCTGGCCAGCGATTCTCGATATTTACAGTCATGGGCTCTTAAGACCTGGACAGTGACTTGCCATGGAACTGCTTACATGCTTACATGGCGGCAGATCATGGGACAGAAACGACATAATTTATGCGTACATGTCCACGTAAAAAAAGGCAATGTTTTCAAAGAAACATTTCTCTAGCCAGTGAAATATGAGATGACCTTCCTACCGTGGAAAAACAAGAAATAAATGTTCGTCCGAATGTTTCAATATTCGCTAAGCTGTATTCGTTGTCGCAAAATTGCATCTGCTGTCGCTAAAACTCATTCGCTACCTCTTGCTGTGAATGGCAAAGATTTCCTTTGAAATTTTGTCCCTTGTCTAGATAAAATCGAGTCTCAGTTCGGTCAGGAAAACTAAAGGTTCTTTCCATTTGAAATGAAAATGAAATGTGCTTTGGCCAATCATCATACGTTTCTGGGAAACCGCCCACCTACTCCTCCCCTAAGCCAACATTAACACTTATTTCTCACTTAGGGCAAAAAGTTGGGTTAGGGGATGGGTAGGTGGGAAGTGTCCCCCAGAAAAGTATAATGACCATTTCCTTCTTGCATACTATTTAGAATTTGACTGAAATGGCCGGATGGATTTCATTACAAGTGAAATTCGTATTACATACGGCGGGAATGGTATAGCCGGTCAGTTCTGAAGCGGAATGGAAAGCGCCCTAAGTTAATAAGCACCCTTCCGTTTTCGCCGAAGAGTTAAAAAGGCGTTTGCGTATCAAAGAAGATACTCACTATACTCAATAGAGCGTATTCACATGACGTCACGGCGGCCATATTGGTGTTCCAAAACAATGAAACGGCGGCCGTGTTGGAGTACCAAGACAACCCTGGGAATTTAACTCTTTTCGCACGTAAAAGAAAAGCAGATTATTTTATACTCACAACATCTTCCGAAAAAAACTTTAGCTTAATTGCATCAAGAAAAGAAAAAAAATACATGAAATATTGTGAAAATCACGTTTTCGCGTGGAAACCATAACATTTTTAGGTTTTTTTCGCGCTGCTCACCCTTGTCGCGGAACAAGGAGCACATTCGCGGACCAAGGACCATGGAAAACGGTGGCCTTTTTTCGAATTACAAGCAAAATATTTATGTCTGGAACTTGAAACTTCAGGATTATCGAGAGGAACATAAAAGCTATCTTCAGAGAGTATTTCAGCTCGTTACAGTTTGATTCAGGTAAGATATTCAAGATCATGACTTTCAGTCGCGGACCAAGGACCACATAATGTACTGATGGATTTAATTTATTTTACTGCTGACGAGTTCTAATAACTAGAAATTCAGTTTTATCATCAATGAGTAACAGCCGTCCTTCAATAAGCCAGTTCGTTGCATCTTAAATGCAATCCTCCATTGCGCGAATGGCCTCATCCTGGGCGTTAGCATCATCGGGCTTGAAACTCACGTATAGCTGGGTATCATCCGCGTGACAATGAGCCTCCGGGGAGATGACGTTTGATAACCTTGAATATACAGCTATTTCTAGAAAGGTTGTCGGAAAAACTGTGCACGCGACAAACCCGAAAGGTAATATGGGATATGCTCAATACACTGTTCCTGATACTGTAGCTGTCGAACCTACTTTTATTGCTTTCCTTTAGCACTCGCAAACATACGTCCATGGCCTCTCTTGCCATTGTTTGAAATTTCTTTGAAAAACAGTGAACTAAAAGCCACCCACAATACCTTTCGGGATTGTCGCGTGCACTTTTTCCGACAACCTTTCTCGAAATAGCTGTATGCAAATCACCATATGTTGAAATTGTAAAAACTCATGTGCTTCAACTACGAAAATGTTCGGACGGAAAATTTCCCCTTAACTTCAGACAAAAATGTAGGGAAGGTTTGGAAGAAAATTTCGGAATCAGATACAGCGTCTAAATATTGATAACTTTATTGATCAAACTCCTGATATACCACTTAGAATTTACGCCTTGCGTTAAGATTTATGCCACTGGCCCTAACCTACTAACACTGCAACAAGACGGCACAAGGAGAGTGACTGAGAAATTACATGCTTTTAAGAACTTCAAGTTGTTTCTAGTAACTTGTCATTAAAAATTAAAACATCGCACAAACGATGTGTTACCATGAAAACGTACCTTTCTTTGCAAACGTTCATATCAAATCGCTTTATTTTTCTCTTTCATTCAACGCCTTTCTATCAGGTTATCTTTAAAAGCTCTTGCACCCCAAAATTATGAGAACAAATAAGGATTAAAGCTTGTTCTTGGTTCAATATTTTCGTCCTTACATGATTCGTAAAACGGTCTCGAACGGTTGGTATTGTCCACACAGGTACGAATAAAGATAAGTAAATATTAAACTAAATTAAAAAGTTGTCAAATTAATTTGAAATACATAAATACAACTAATATTAGTATAGGTAATAGCATGATTTGTAGTGATATTTGGTATAAATACCACGAGTGATGTTTCCAAATTGTTATACGTAATTTCACGAGCCGTTAGGCGAGTGAAATTTTGGACAATTTCGAAATATCACGAGTGGTATTTATGCCAAATATCACGTACAAATCATGCTATTATTTGTTTATACTACTACCCACAAAGATTTTGTAATTTTAACATGTAGGTATTTCAAATTAAGCTAAAATACCACTGCTCTAAGCCAATCAAATTACAGAAATTTTTCATGTAGTAGTATAAGTATAGGTAATAGCATGATTTGTAGTGATATTTGGCATAAATATCACGCGTGATATTTCGAAATTGCTATACAAAATTTCACGAGCCGTTAGGCGAGTGAAATTTGAGACAATTTTGAAATATCACAAGTGGTGTTTATGCCAAATATCACATACAAATCATGCTATTATTTGTTTATACTACTACCAGCAAAGGTTTGTAATTTTCACATGTAGGTATTTCAAATTAAGCTGAAATACCACTGCTCTAAGCCAATCAAATTGCAGAAATTTCTCATGTAGTAGTATACTGTAGGTATACTCGATTTCCATCGGTGGTGTTGTACTGATTAAAATCAGTCTTCTGCCATTAATGTATTTCAGTGCTTGGTAAACTGAATGAACGAGAAAGAAAAAAATAAAACAGAAACACTTTAACAACCAAGAAGTGTTTGCATCAAAGGAAATACACTAACAGTATTCTGATATTGTTAAAAGTTTGCTATCATAGTATACACAATAATAAAAAAAAAATTAAAAACTGCTTGCAATTCGGGCTGACGGAAAGTGGACCAAAAATTGTAATTAATAATAAATACATTATATAAACACCGCCAGTGGTCATCCTAGAGTAAGCCCAGTAGGCTTTGTAAAGAACTCCTGTTCTATGATACATGTAGTTACATGCACCGTAACAATGTAAGATTTTGGGACGAATAAACAGAAAAATCGACCATTAAGGCTAGATGGGGAACTTATTCAAGAGACACAAGAGGGCGAAGCGCACCCTTTTAAAAATGAAATATTTAGTATTGAACTGAGTTAATGCAAACGAGCAGTCACGTATAACTAAACCTAATTCGGTGGTGTTTGCAACCCGAGATGTGGCTACATTCCTAACACGTTAATGAACTGCTTTCATTTCACTGAGTTTTTAGAACAGTTTCATTAAGAAGATTAATCAAGGATTACCTTGTGCTTTAAGCTTTCACGGGCTAAATATGCATATGGCACAATTGGATGGTGACGGGTGGCATTTATACAGTACGTTGACGAGTTCAAAGAATGTTGACCTAAGTTTTCTTTATGCTCTTCTAATACGATGTAGTTTTGGTAAGCTGTCGGCACTTCACGTTGGATTTCCTCAACAAAGCTTCGCCATGCCTCATCAAAAAGTTCACCAGAACGAGGATAATTGCGATGTTTCGGGTTTCCAGCAGTCACTGCTGCAAACAGAAGTGCTTGGCCGCGGAATTTCAACCCAACAACGGCCATGATATGCAAAGCTGACACCGTCCAACTTTCCTTTTCATACTTCATGTTGTATGGCAAAATATGAGCGACAGCCTTATGGTGGAAAGCATGGAAAAGAGCATCGAACCAAACCACTGGCATCACTAGTGGTGTGTCGTGAATTCCACACTTTTCTCTTCTTCTTTGTAAAGTCCACTCGGCACCATGATGCGGTGTATAGTCTAAAACACCAAGCGCTGGTTCATATTCTAAAAGCCAGTCTTGCACGACTCGTAGCGGTTGAGTTTTTCTCAAATCAGGCGGAGTCATTTTATTGAAGCTAAAGGTGACGTCATCATCTAAAAATATGTAGTAACGGTAGGGTAGTCTTCTGTTTATGGCCGTAAAGTAGAGCGCATTTCTTCCTGTTCCCCAAGTAGTTTGTGGATAAAATATGTAGGATGTATGAGATGGAATTATTGATTTGTCGCACTTTGCTTGATAGCTTAACACTATGATATCACAACTGCAATTTTCAGCGACACCAATCGATTCTGCAAGGTGTGAAGGAAGACATTGCTCCGTTTGTAGAAGGTAAACAAAATGCTTCTGAATGACACCTAACGAATCCACCTTTGATCCATTCTCGTATACTGCTGGAAGTTCTTTGCCAAAACCCTTTCTCCAGGAAAGGGTAATGTGCAGATATATAAGACTGCTAGCAATACATCCCACCAAGACGACACATGTAAAACATCGGAAGGAAGACATGGCTGTTTCTTGCACTCGTCGTTAGCAACTGCATAAATTGAAATATCACACCACTGGAGGCAGCGTTTCCAAGAAAACTTTTTTTGGTTTAAAAAAAAACTTCACGTTCTCGCAGGCAAGCAAGGCACTGTAAACAAACCATTTAAAGACATTACTTGTCAAAGTAAAAGATAAAATTTCATGTGATTTAACTTTCATTTTCATTGAGAGTATAATACATCAGTTAATTGAAACTACGGCCCCCCGACCCCCGCGACTTAGCAGGGAATTTAACATTGGCCGCGTGTTAAAACTGTCCCCTATAGATGGTTTTCACTGTGACGTCAACAAATTGTAAAGTCAAAATAGCGAGGTTTCACGAATTCTTATTTCCACTAGGTTGAAGATAAACAAAAAGTAAGTCTTTGTACAGGTTTCCATTTCCGTAGCATGTTTCATTTGGAAAATACAGCAATTTGAACTTCCGAGTTTTCACTGTGCGTGACACCAAAATAGGAATGCTATACAAAGCTTTACAAAGGTGCGTGAGACGTTTCGGCAAATAACTTAGAAACTGTAGGCCACAAAGACCTGAGACTTGGACAAAATGTTTATATATTAGTCTTTTATAGCATGTCATTTTCTTGGCTTCTTCCACTGGACGGTTTCCAATTTAATTATTTGTTGTGTGACAGTGAAAACGATCTATAACGGAGCATTAGTAGTTCATAAACAATACACGATTCAGTTCGGACTTACATTATTTGCCGGTGCTGTACTTGTTCCTAAATTCAACCATATTTTCAACTATGCTCACCAACTGCAGTGAAATTGGACCTCTTTAAATGAGCTACATTCAAATTCGATCATGGTGTGCGTTAATCAGGCCGAGGATCACTAGGGAAAGACCAGGGTCAGGATATCGCCCTTAAGACTTGGAACAGTGATTTACGGTTTTGTAACAGTGCCATGGATTTGCTTACATGCCTACTTGGCGGTCGATCATGGGACAGAAACACGAATATCTTCTATTCGCATACTGATGCTTCCTATCTTATGGAAGTTGCAAATTTAGAATTGAAAAAGATAACGTGTTGGTTTTATACAAATAAGCTATCTATTAATGTTAAGAAATCTAATTTTATCATATTCAGACCGAGACAAAACAGGCAAACACTTGATCTAGCTTTTAATATTAGTAATTATTCAGGGGCACCCAACGACAATTTTCCGGAAAATATCTGTTCGGAAGACGATTTGAGATCTAGAATTTTCGGAACATTTGTTGTAAAATTTTTTGCTTGCCTGCCTCTCCTAGGATTTTCGAACATCTAAAAACTACTATAGTTGCCCATTTTTAACGGATTTTTACCCTTAAAAGGTCACCTAGAATTTTCGGGAGCCTTTTTTCTGGCTGAAATTTTCGAAAAGGTAAGTTTTGATCCCTATAATTTTCGGATCACTAGACTTTCAGCTAGGAAATCCGAACAGATGAAAAAATTTTAGGGGATAAAAATATTTCTTTATCTACCGTTTAATACTAAAATACGTTTAACAATGCTATGTTTAAGTGGTTTTGAACTATATTCTCGTTGGGTGCCCCTGATTATTCGATTGATCGTGTTAAGGAAGCTACTTTTCTTGGTGTAATTCTAAGTTTATATAGGGAAAACAGAGAGATCAGTAAGGTTTGTTTACAAATTAGTTTGCTAGCGTGGGTACGTGAAAATACGCGTAGGTAAATGTTTGTTTCAAAGCAGGACAGGGTTGTTAATCTTATTTTTATCGGCTGCAACATATATATGTCTGAAGAATACCAGACAATAAATATGAATTATGGGGATTTATAAAATCGGACAAAAACGACTCCCGCTTCGCGAACAATGAATCTTAAATTATGTGAATTTCCTTGGGTGCATCTTACTCGCTTCCGAGGATTCAAAAACAATCAGTTACTGTCAAAGCTCACACATGCGTACTATCGTGACACAGCCCCTTTAAGGTCTCTAAATAAATTAAAGGCCCCGAGGGGGTGTCTCATTTTTTGTCTAGCATTACTCTGGCGCATTGTTTCTGTAAATTGATTAAGTCTAGCTACTGCTCAGCTAATAAACTTTCTGTAAACTTTAAGAAAACCCACTATATTAAAATCTCCTCCCCCCAAAAAGCATGTAAATAATGCCTTTAATGAAGAGAAATTGGCCTGCCAACACCGCAGTTATACCGTAAATAATATCTTCGTAGCAACGTCAGAGTACCCGGTCGCAAACTTTCGTGTGAAGTTTAGCGATAATTATCTTCTATAAAACTGACGGTATTTTTTCAATCATATGGTTCGGTCACCCCGGTTTCTCTTTGGATGCAGCACGCGTTTATTCAAACAAGCTTCATTGCGAGGAAGCAAGGTCACCATCCTGGAACACATTTATCACCACAGTGTCGTGAAGGTAGAAATTCAAGCAATAATGCCATCTTATATTGTTCTGGTTGATCCTAAAATTCTATAAAACTTGTCTGTTAATTAATTAAGGTTATTATGAATCATTTATATTTTCTGTTAAATAAAAGTATGACCCATCGTTTGTGGAAATGACTTCCATTAACTAGCCTTTAATTAAATTTACAGATCCAAAAACTTATGAGGCTTTGTCTCCTTTTCTTCATCCTCGGAGACCCAGGGGCAGTCAGTCGTGGCGGGAGAAAAGGTGGGATGAAAGTTTTCAAGTACGGGCAAGAGAGCCGCTGGGTACCGACTCTCACCAAACTATTTCCAAAAATTCAAGCGGATGCCGGCTCCTGATTGGGCACAAAAAATGCTTTGTATTATTGTGCCCAATCGGCGAACAGTTTCTCCTGAGTTCTTTTCGTGTGTTTGTACACGACGGCTATTGCCCGGTTCGTTCACCAAGCTTGTGCGTGCAAGGGAAACTTTTATTTTCTACTTTCCTAACTGGAAACGAAGGAACTACAGATGAGTCGGAAAAAAGTTTGGGATCCTGTCAGCGGGAGCAATTCAATTTGCCACGAGAATATTCTGTATCGTAAATAATAGGAAGTTTAAGATGCGGCGGCGACGAGAAAGTCAAATAAGCAATAGCTTGATAAGGCAAAACAACAACTTTGCACGTGCATCACGCTTTTTTGTACATTTCTTTGCTGTCAACTGCACGACTATCCGTGAAAATGCCTAATTTCACGTTTTGTGAAGGACGTAAACAAGCAATGACAAAATTCATTCTCTTCATGAACTTGGATATGTTTGATAGAAATCCAGCTCCAGAAGAGCTCGCTTGCATGTGACAAAGTAAGCGAGTTGGACTAATCACGGTAGAGACTGAAAAAATGTGAATTCACTTTTCCATGCGACGTTTTCGTGGCTGACAGCCGTCGTGGTATCTTTTAAAAAATCCCCGATATTTACGCAAGACGTGACCGATTCAAGAGTGAATACCTGTTGTAAGCTCAAGCTTGTATTTTTAGAAAGCGTCTTTAGTCTTCGGGTAGACAGTATTTTGAAATCAGACGGGGATTTTATATCAAACCGAAAGTTTCCTGACTGCGTGCATTTCTTTGGTACATGAACCAGACAAGCCGTGATCGAGACAATAGCCGTCGTGTACGACCCACGAAAAGAACTCAGGAGAAACTGTTCGTCGATTGAGCACAATAATACAAAGCATTTTTTGTGCCCATTCAGGAGCCGGTATCCGCTTGAATTTCTGGAAATAGTTGGGTGAGAGTCGGTACCCAGGGACTCTTTCGCCCCTACTTGAAAACGTTCGTCCCACCTTTTCTCCCGACCCGACTGACTTCCCCTGGGTCTCCGAGGATGCCTTTTCTTAAGCTTGTGCTAGTTTCTATTTTTTTGTAGTTCAACATAGACACAGTATTCCAAAAAGTTATCTCGAGTTCAGTAAATGAAGACATTTCAAGAGGCATCAAAATATTTTTACTAGGCTAGGCTGAATAGTAGAAGAAAGGGAAAGGGTTTGTCATTTTTTTTAATAGAAACTTGTCATGACAAGTTTAATGACCACACGACAGTTTGATTACCAGAACAGTAGTTTATAATTGACAAATCCAAGGATTACAAGAGTAAAATTATTCATTTTTTTTGCCTTTTGGGAAAAGTGGAATAGGGGGTAAAGGTGACCCTAACTTAAATTTCTAGCTATATGTAAAATACATGAAACTACTTTATCCATCCATTGTTAAACATTGGAGCTCAGAAGGTAACCAAGGAAATAGAGGGTAGGCAAACTGGAAAAAAGCTAGTTTTGTCCGTGGGCGGCAATACTTTAATTTCGACAGTTTAAGGTAAAATATTAAGATAATGTCTAAATCATTTGTGAACTGTGATATTTTTTTGCCTAAATATCTCTCTTCGATCAAATGTGACAATTAGGCCAGATTTATACTAGCGATGTAAAAATTTCCTCCGTCTATGTTGAAACCGAACAAACCTCGCGGGTATCCGCTTTGGCGGGTGATCTCCCTGAGAGATTATTGAGTTGTTGTTTTCATTATTTATTCATCAAGTTCTCAGTTGTAATGATTTTTCGGTAGTATTGTTCTTATTTATTGTTTATTGAGTGGGTCGGCTAAAATTAAAGCCGAAGAGTGAAGCTCCAATGCAGAATTTTCGAAGTCTGTTTAATATTATGCTTTCGACAGTGCACGTGAATAGCAACTACGTTGGGTGTCGACTTAAGATAAACTGGATTAAGTGTCAAAGATGAAAGATTGCTCAATAAAACGAGCATTGTTGACAGCTTTAAGATAGGCTCAGGGTCTCTTGATGTAATATAACCCTTGGTTCAAAACAATAGACTTGGCGCCTCGCCCTTCAGAAATATGCGAAGATCGCGACGTTGAACGTCGCTATCCCCCGAAAATCGAGCCTGCGGCTTGTAATGACTACACCTGCAACACTAACTACACCAACTATACTAACTACATCAACTACACTAACTACGCCAGCTACACCAAACATTAACTTATCATACTACACCAAGTCATTAACTTTGTTCTACTATACTAAATACATCTCTAAATTCGTGACAGTTATCATGAATCTATTACCGCTATTAATTAGTTGGTCTAGTTGGTGTAGTCAGTGTAGTTGGTGTAGTATGTGCAGTTGGTGTAGTTGGTGTAGTTGCTCTACTTGGTGTAGTTGATAAGTTACAATTTACGTATTTTTGGTTATTATCTGTTAGAATAAAATCTTGTATAACTACAAAAACTACAGCAACTACACCAAACTATACCGAACTACACCAACTACTCCAAAATACCTCAACCTACACCAAAATACAATCTACACCAAAATACAGCAACCACACCAACTATGACAACTACAGTAACAACACCAACTACAGTAACTACACCAACTACACTAACTACAGCAACTACACTAACTACAACAACTACAGTAACAACACAAACTACAGTAACTTCAGCAACTACACATACTACACCAACTACACTAAATATAGAAAGTACAGCAACTACACAAACTACAGCAGCTGCAGTAAGGTACAGCAGCTACACTAACTACACCAACAACACATACTACACCAACTACACTAACTACAGCAACTACACTAACTACCGTAAGTACACCAACTACATTAACTACAGTAACTACACAAACTACACCAACTCCACCAACCAGATATACTACACTAACTACATATACCACACCACCTACACAAACTACAGCAACTACACCAACTACACACACTGGGCGAAAAAATGGATTTACTAGGGTAGCCAAATTACAGCAAATGTGTAGCAAATACCACATTTGCACAATTTTGCGCAAGAGCAAAGACTGATATTGCACTAGATTTGCTATCCGTAGCAATGACGGTAAATGCCACATTTGCACAACATTTACATCTTGGTGCAAAGATAATGGGCAGCCATGGATTTGAGGGTCATTTGCAGATGGTTCAAATGTGTAGGCAAATATGTTTCTTTGAACTATATTTGCACATTACGCAAATGATAGCGCAAATCTGCTGTTTTGCACAGCTTTTGCTTTAGATGTAAAAGCATGTAAACCTGTTATTTTCAGAACGTTTACGCAGCTTTGCAAATGTGAGCGAAGTATCTAATTTGAACAATGTTTGCTTGGGTTATCATGGGTGATCAAATTTTCATAATTGAACCAGATTACTTTGCATGGCAAATGTAACCAAACTCTTTGTATTAAACATGTTTGCTCAAGAAGCAAATGTTAGCAAACCTAAACTTTGAACAAATTTTCTAGGGTGTGCAAATTTGATCAAACACAAAATTTTGCTTGTAGCGGCAAATGTGGTCAAAAGTCAAGTTTTGAACAAAGTTGCTTGGGCAGCAAATCTGATCAAACTGTTAGTATTGTACAATTTTTCGCTCAGGTAGCAAATGTAATCAAATTCTGACTTTAAAGCAAATTAAGCAAATGTCATCAAACCCATAAAATTGAGCATGTTTTCTCCAGTAGCAAATGTAAATTCCAAGGTTTAAACGAGTTTGCTTGGGTTGTAGCAAATGCGATAAAATTTTAATAAATTATAATATGGCTCACTTCAGTTTCTTAACAAGTGGCCATAATTAATCAAACATTAAAGTTACTGAAAGAAATTCTAGCAGTGACCTCCCATTAATGTTCAAATGATTTATTCCATAAACCAAAGTGGCTTACACATTATTACAGACATTACAAACTACAGTATAAAGCTGTACATACAGCTCTTCATATTAATTCCCAATTTTACTGTTCGTTGATGTTTACTTGTCTCCACTCTATGCTCTATCAGATCATTACTAACTATTAATATTATAAGAAAAGTGTTCTTCATCTAAATGTGTAAGATATTCTACATACAGCTGTAGGTGTTTCAGAGTTGCATGCCTCAAACCTATTTCAGTTCTTTAGGTTTTTGCAACTCAGAAACAGGTTAAAAATCCTTTCACCCTTGGACCAATATTTACTTATGACAAGACTATTTCTTACTTAAACTTTTGTATCTAAGGACCAAATCCTGTTTCAACGAAATGGAACCCTCAAGACACCCATTTTAATAAATAATTAGTATTTTTGTATTTATTGCTATTTACAGATTAAACAAAATTTGATTCTGGTGGCATTTTTTCCTTTAGGCTCTATTAGCATGAAAGGCCTAATTCTTGCTACCAATTTACAATTTTTGCTGGTATAACAACTGTGTTATAGCATTTAGCAAACTAAGAAATAGTTTAGGTACATATAGCTATTCAATTCAGATCAGACTTCTTTAACTTCATTTTCGTTGCTAATGGTTCCTGTATGGTATTGGATTATGCTCTTAGAGGAAGTACCAGCCGGAGCTTCTAGTACTTGCCCCGTTCTAAGAAAATTGAGGGTCATGAAAGTAATGACCAGCTATAAGTATTCCACAGCATGTCAACATTACCATTGCCACTGTAGTTGGTCCCAATGAAAGAAGCTAATAATTATTTTAAACTCAGTATACATGTACATGTAGTACAAAAGGTTGATCTGGCTAGCCTGCAAAATAACTACACTGCTGTCTCTCATTACTCTTTTTCTTGAGTCATGTTGCAATCCTTTGCAAAATTCCGTAATAAATCATGACAAAAAGCAGGGTGTACCTAAATTTGTTTTGTTTTTTTGTTCAAGCAGGTCAGTTGCAATTGCTGTAATCGGTACAAATGTACTGTGAAGTGGTGCCAGCAGAACTCAAATGCCTGCAGTTAAGCAAACAGATTTAAAAGAAACATGTGTACATTAATTGGCCTTTTTAACCTGCTGACTGGTACATTACTTGCAAACAATAGCCAAAGGATTCTAATGAAAAATTTATCACATCAACCAATTTGATCTACCTGCCACCAGATTCTCAGGACAAATCAACACCATCAGGATTTGTACTGTTTACACAGATTTATCTTTTTCTAAAAAACAGTGTCATAAACAGAGAGTGATTAAAGGATTACTGTATTTGCAGAGCTACATGTACATGTACCTGTAAGTATGACCAGTCATAAACAATCTGGAATTTCTTTAAGAGCCTTGGATTAACTTATATTTCCTTATCACAAAGCAAATTCAGGAGCATTATCTGGTGCCTCCTGCTCTGAGGAGAAGCCATTCGTCCTTTCTATCGTCATTGAGTAATGACAAGCTTACATGTGACTGTTTTAATTTTGCTTTACTGTTCAGCTTGGCAAAGAGGTTTTTACAGGCTAAGTTGTTGACTCCTCCACGTAGAGGCCTCCTGCAAAGCACTTTTCTCGGATTTGTCATCTCCTTGGTCTGTATTGCCTTGCTCTGAAGACATGTACTCCACAATTATACAAGCTTTGAACTTACACCAATCCTTCTTCGAAATAGAGGTTGACTGGAAAAGGGTTGTCTCTTCAGTTTTTTCTGCAACAAACAGAAATTATACATAATTGAGACCATTAATATTGAAACTAAAGCTGTAGATGCTTGTCATGGAAAATACTATTGTCCTTTTCTGTCTAAATATTCTAGCCGTTTATAGCAAAAAAGGTTGCTATTAGATATTACATGTATTATTACTGGCTCAGTCACACTAGGTGACTAAACTTACTTATTTCCTGAGTTAACTGATATCAAAATTAACTAGTTTAAACAAATTGCTGGCTCGTAACTTTCATGTCTCAAATCTAACCCCAAGCGGTCATCATAATCCTGATTACACTGTACCTGTTAAAACTAAGACTTTCTTTGAGCAAAAACAAAACGAAAAAATGAATGCGAGAAACCCTTTTGTAACAAGACAATTGACTCCAGGTAAATCATTGTATTAATTTTATAGTGAGTGTCCCACTACATCACTACCATAACAACATTATTGACATATTACTTAAAACTTCATGAACCTGCTTCTTCTGCAATATTGCCATCACTTACAGTGTATCTTGGGAACAAAAGTTTAATTACCGTATTTATTCAATTAACCGCCCTGGGCGCTTATTAAATTTTTGGGCCTTGATAGTGGGCGCTTATTCGAGGTGGGCGCTTATTAAATTTTCGCCATTCTCAGCAAGTGTAGTATGTTTATTTTGCTACAAAATAATAAATGGTAATAACAAAAAGCGAAGAAGTAACAAAGCAAGGTTTCAGCCCAATCTGTAAAATACTCTGAAGAAAACTCCGTCTTCGGGAGGGTCTCTTATTGTCTTATTTGAGTTTGTGTGGGAGGGAGTGGGGTGGGGTGGGCGCTTATTCGAGGCTGGGCGCTTATTAACTTTTTCTGCCTTTGGGATGGGCGCTTATTCGAGGTGGGCGCTAATTCGAGGTTGGGCGCTTATTCGAATAAATACAGTATACTATAATTGCCTCATATGAGAGAATCCAAGACCTTTTTCAGTGGATTACTTGGTTTCTGGATTCCAATCGTTTGACTTGTATTTCAGGTTTCAAAGCTCAGAATTTAGGATTCCGCAACAAAAATTGCCCGAATTCTGGATTCCATAAGCAAAAATTTCCCGGATTCCAGAATCCCTTACATGGGGTGATCATAAAAAACAATCAGTGAAAGCAGGGTACCATGATCTAAATTCTAGCTACACTATGTTTTCAGCACCATGGCAGTCACTGCCTTTACTCCCCTTTTAAATTTTGGAAAAGCCTTTGGAGAAAGTATAGGCACTAGAGGATAAGGTTAATTTTGGCCTAATAGAGGGGAATTAACGCTTGCTTCAATTCTTATTAAATTTTCCAAGACCATTTATCTGAAGAGAACAACCAAACAAAAGATTACAGTATTTTTTACAACAACAGGACAAATAAAGTTTCAGGAGTAGGGATGGTCCTTGTTGATTACTGAATATTGGAATGCAAATGTAGGTATTATCAAATAGCATCATTAGCGGCTTAACAGTAACAACGAACTTTCTTATACTTACTGAGCATTTCTTTTACTCCCGATTAGTTGCTCCCTCAGCATTTGTTTGTCGTCAACATTTCTCCTGCCTCTTCTTAGTTTTACAATGTCTGCTAATTAAAACAGCATCGATTCACCGAAATCTATTTACTAAGTACTAACGGCTGCTTTTCTTGGATCCACTCGTTACTACTTGATCGTCGCCGATGGAGATATCTAGATGTCTTTCATGGTGGATTTTCGTCGAAGGATCTATAAGTATGCAGTTCCCTCGAGTTCGAGCGATTATTTTTATAAGTTCTTCGAGGACACATTCGTTCGATAAATTCGAACAAATAAGACTGGCCGATTCCTCCATACTCGACAGTCAACCCCACAAAGAAGGAAAATTCGAAACCTCTTGATAAATATGGCGTTAAACGTAGGAAGTAAAAGCTGATGGCAAATCGATGGCAGTGGAACGCGTTAACGGTCGACGAATTTCAATTGTTGTGCCTCGTTCTCGAACGGTTATGCAGACTGTCGCTGACCAGCACCACTGAGGCGCAAATGCTTGGGAAATCGGGCGCGCGGTCTTTTGGCGATTTGGCGGGAGGAAGAGATTGCCTATGTTGCTGGATTTCTTCTCAAGGATGTTCGAAATTTAAAAGGTAAAGTCGATGTATTTTGCTTTGTATATCGTGCTTCTACTGCCACATCTATGTTATAACCGGGAATAAACTACATTTGCATCCATATTTACATTTGTAGCATGTATGAGCACGCGTGTCGCGTGCGTATATGTGGTAGTGATCCAGCTGAAAAAAGCCTTGTTGAAAAATTTAAGTGGTGTTAAGTCAGCAAAATATGTAGTTATGCAATGTTAAAATGCTAATTTATTGGTATTTGGCAGAAGTAGCTCAAGATTAATTGCTTGAGTAATTTATACTACCTCTGGCGCTATATTGACACATTGAGCGTAATACCTGTACATGTACCATTGATTTTGACAGGGGTAGGGTGGAGCCTCTATTTGATATACGTTCAGCGTGCAAAGAAAGTAGTGTCCGATAGCCCGGGGCTAGCGGATTTTGCTATCGGGCTAGTAAATTCTGTTCTTCACTTGCCCGACGGGCAAGTACAATGCAGTTTGAGGAATTCACCTTACAGAAGAACTGTTAAATCAAAAATTTTGTGGGTAGTTGAAATGACGTTTGGGCTAGTAAATGTTAGCTTCAGCTTGCCCGAATGGCAAGCTGTAAAAATGACTTTCTTTGCACCCTGTACGTTACTGTCATTTTTTTCTGTTTTGTTTTGTCATGTTTTCATATACAAGGTTATTTTGTTTATAATAGTTTATAATGATACAGCTGTACATGTAAGCTGAGTCAAAAGGTCAAAAATGCTAAAATGTGCCACATGTGTATTTATAATGTTCATAAAGATAATGGCAACACAAGTAACACAATTCATTTAATTTCACAATATTATCAATAAAGGTAGAATTAACAGTTATTTTTAGTGGGTTTAGTGACTTTTTTGTGTATTTGTTTCAGATTTTTCCTTGAGTGGTACTGGAGTTATTTCCAATGTTCTTGAAATTGAGTTGCATCACCTGAACTCTCCAAAAGATAAAGAGTTCAATGAAATACAGGTTCAACATGGGGAAGCTGTTTGTGGTCTGTGCATGAAGAAATGCTACAGGGGTATTCCAGTGGGTCTCAATTTATTTACAGTAATCATTTTTTCCTCTTCACAAGATGACAGAATTGAAGCTTATATACTGAATGCTCGCATCCATCAATACCCCATCTGTTTGGGGTAAATGTCACAAAACAGAAACCTCACATGTACTTCCTTGGGTTATATTTTTACCATCTTTACAATATTATTTTTCTTGTTCTTTGTGCGGTGCCCTGCTAAGGAAATTCATGTCCCTTTCACAGTGTTCTGCGGGAACATAATGTACTGAAATTGTGTGAAGCTATAGAACATTTGCACTCATACAGGTTTCCCCACAGAGATATAAAGAGTGACAACATTATTCTTACAGAGGTAAACAATATGTACCACCCAATGCTCATTGATTTTGGAAAGGCTATCTTGCTATCGGATGCCCCTTCAAAACAGCAGTCCATGACTGCTCACTAGCACTGACATATAGCTTAAGAAATATGCCTCAGATATTATGTTTTAAAAAGACAAATCATATTGAACTCAAAATCAGGGTTGTAAAGAGCAGCAAAGAAATTATTCATTCATGTCTGTGCTGAGTTTCTATTCACAAATGATATGAAATACAAAGCAATTTCACCATTTGTTGTAGTATTGGCTGTTGGGCTTTCAAAATGTGGCCATTTTTAGGAGGCTTACCATCAAGATGTGGTCATCTCTAGGTATAGTCAGTGAAAACTAGAACAAATAGCGGTAAGAACAAAATTGTCAGTTTTGATGTGAATTTTCTTGAATAAATGGCCATGAGGAAATTGTGTACAAGTGAATAATCTCAACCCTGACTTTGAAATGCACAGAACCTTTTTTTTTTTTTTTTTTTTTTTACAAATTTAAGGTACTGTGGGTGGCCTTGTTATTGTTAGCTTTTTAATAATAATATTATGATGTAGAAAAAATACAGTAAATGATCTGACTACTGGACCTTTGTCCAGTAGATTTGTTGTAGTGTATTTACTTAATGTAAAGGGGAGGTAGTGTGGGCCCTCTGTAACTGTATACAACAGTTACTGTGTCATTTTGAATTTTTAGTTTTAGTAATTGGAGATCCCTGCCCATTGTGCGACCCTAGGCTTTACTATTATCAAATGACAGAAGGGGAATCTAACACATGCCCAGGTTATGTACCATTGACTCACTTCGAAGTGGTTATGTGATTTAGAATTGGACCCAAAAAAAGACCGGGGCCCAGTTGTTCCAAAGACCGATTAGCACTAACCCAGTGCTAGATTTTAACCTGCGTTTCTTTTTCCTTTTAATCAAAAGCATTTTGTCAGATAATTTTCCCTTTTTTTAAGTATCAAATCACCAAATTGTAGACAAAAGGAATTCAAATGAATTTGTTTTTAAAACTGTCATATCTGAATTCATATTTTGTACTAACCTTGGGTTATCTTAACCGGCTTTAAACAACCCAGCCTGGAAGGATAATAAATGCTGCATGTTAATAATTTTGTTTCACCGCCTTAGTTTTTTCTTTATAGCTTACAACTTTTCATGATCCAAGGCCAACTCAGAGCTCCTGTAACCCAGTAGGGGTCTGTTCATTTTTTAAGGGGGGGGACCCTCTCTTCATCAGAATTTTTTGGGGAAGCCACAACCCCGCTCCTTGTATCCCAAGATCAAATAACCAGGATTCAGGTGAATTTTAGCCAGCAAAAATACTATGACTTTTTTTGGATTGAATAGGTAGTACTTAATGAACAGTGAGACTCAAACTCAGGGTTGCAAACAACAAAGTTAGAAAAATTAGCCTTTCATAAATTTGTCAGCTGAGTTAATGTTCAAATAAAATTGTGAGCAGTTTCACCATATTTTGTTGTAGTATTGGCTGTTGGGTTTTCAAAATGTGGTCATTTTTAGGAAGCCGGCCATCGAGATGTGGTCATCTCTAGGTGGGCAGTCAAAACTACAACAAATACCGGTTAAACTAAAAGTGTTGGTTTTAAATTGAATTAAGTTTGTTGGTTAAATGCATGGCCATGAGGAAATTATGTACAAGTGAATAATCACAACACTGAGTTTGAAATCCAAAAAACTTTTTATTTCGGACCAAATTTGATTTTTTAGTATGATGTACAAAAAATGCAGTAAATGATCTGACCACTGGACCCAACCTTGTGTTATCTTAACCCATCTTTGAGCAACCCAGTCCAGAAGTTTAAAGGCTGCATGTTAATTTGTTTCACCACCTTAGTTTTTTCTTTATAGCTCTAGACTTTTCATGATCTAAGGCCAACTCAGAGCTCCTGTGATCCTGTAACCCAATAAAGGTCTGTTCATTGTTTATGGGGCGGGGGGGGGGGGTTGCTTTGTCGGGTAGGATTTGACAATTCGACCGGTAGCTCCTGTAGATCCTCCTTGTATCCCAAGTTCAAATAACCAGGCTTCAGGTGAATTTTAGCTAGCCGAAATGCTATGACTTTTTTGGATTGAATAGGTAGTACTTAATGAACAGTAAAACTTAAAATCAACATTAAAATCAGTGAAACTTAAACTCAGGGTTGCAAACAATAGAGTAAGAAAAATTAGCCTTTCATAAATTTGTCAGCTGAGTTAATGTTCAAATAAAATTGTGAGCAGTTTCACCATATTTTGTTGTAGTATTGGCTGTTGAGTTTTCAAAATGTGGTCATTTTTAGGAAGCCCACCATCGAGATGTAGTCATCTTTAGGTGGTCAGTCAAAACTACAACAAATAAGTCCCGTATGATATATGCCCCTAATATTCTAGAATCAGTATAAATATTGTCGGAAATATAGAAAGAACCCTGCAGTATATGTATTAGCTATTCAGGGTCTTTATGATGACTACGTTGAAACAAAACACTGCCAGGATCAAACCTTAAATGACAGAGGCAAGTGCCTCGGTTTGCCTCATACTGGCTATGGCCCTGACTGTAGGAAATACAGTGGATCAATGATCTGACTACTGGACCTTAATAACGAGTGGATTTGAATTAGTGTATTTGCTTTAAATTAGTATAGCCCGGGAAAGGTTTATGCCAGGGGCGCTGTCAGAAAGGGACACCTTTTTCATGCTTCAGGTATGAAAGGATAGGGATTTCCTGAGTTAAAGTATATGACAGGGTAGACTATCTGTCATTTCGTTCTGTAAAAAGACTAACAGAAGAAATTTGTGAATGTAAAATTGTCAAAAAAAATTAACTGGTTTCTGATTCCTTTATATTAAAATGACAGTGCACATAAAACAGTTAACAGGAAAGATGCACGTAAGGGGTTGGACCTCTGGGCAGACTCTCACAGCGTGTAGAAAATTTTATTGTAACAATGTAATGTTACAGTTGAGATTGGAAATTTACTATAGTCACAAAACGGATCAAACATATAGGAAATGTCACATGCACATCACCTTTGACTGTCAGCAAATGTTATGCAGCTCACTATATTTGCTCCCCTTGCAAATATGGATAATTATGATGTAAATGTGCAAATTTATGATACAGCCAAATGTCTAGAAATTTATTGTTTTTGCTCTTAAGGCAAATACGAGTAAACCACATGCAAAAGTGTTCTTTTGGTATCCTGGAAAAACAAGAGCAAATACCACTGTAAATTAGGGGTTTTGCAATATTTTTGCCTGCATTTGAAGTAAAGTGAAAACTGTCATTTTTGCCAAGGATGTAAATTTGAGTAAACTGATAGAAATGTTCAAGATTTGCCCATGCTGCAAATATGTATCAAATTTGTATCAAACCATTACATTTACTTGACTTTTGCGTATCAATACCTATCTAGCAAATATATGTATTTGCCCACACTTTAGCCGACAGCGCAAATGTAATGCAAATTTGGAGCTCCAAATTTACCACATATTTGCACCTTTCGCAAACATTAGTAAATCCGTTTTTTCGTCCAGTGACATACTACACCGACTGTACTAACTACAGGAACTGCAGCAACTACAGCAATTTCACCAACTACAACAACAACACCAACTACCTGTACTACACCAACTACTCTAACTACACCAACTACAGTAACTTTACCAACTACAGCAACTACACAGACTACAGTAACCACAGCAACTACAGTAACTACACCAATTACATATACTACACTAACTACACCAAGCACACTAACTACACCAACTACAGCAACTACACCAACTACGTATACTACACCAACTACATATACTACACCAACTATACATACTACACCAACCACACTAACTACAGCAACTACATCCTACACCTTACTACACAAACTACACTAACTACACCAACTACAGCAACTACAGTAACTGCACCAACTACACCTAGCTACACCAACTACGCATAAACATAACTAAACATACTACAGTAACTACACCAACTACAACAACTACAGTAACTACACCAACTACACCAACTGCACATACAACACCAACTACGGCAACTACAGCTACTACACCAACTACAGTAACTACACCAACTACAGTAACTACAGCAACTACACCAACTACAGGAACTACAGCAACTACACTAACTTCACCAACTACACCAACTACACATACTACAGTAACTACACCAACTACACCAACTACAGCAACTACACCAACTCCATATACTACACCAACTACACCGACTACAGCAACTACACATACTATACCAACTACACATACTACACATACTACAGCAACTACATCAACTACACCAACTACAGCAATTACACTAACTACCCCAACTACCCCAACTACACATACTACAGCAACTACACTAACTACACCAGCTGCAGCAACTACATATACTACACCAACTACACTAGGTACACCAGCTACTGTAACTACACCAACTACACCAAACATCAACTTTATCATAGTACACCAAGTCATTATTAAATACGTCTCTGTATTTGTGATGGTTATCATGAATCATTACCTTTTCGGGGGCTCTGATTGGCTGCTGAATCAGTGAATATCTTGTACTATTCACTGATTCACCTCCAGTTTCTCCGAGCGAGCGACGCCAAACTCACGTAAGTTGCGACAAGAGAGAATGGTCTTGGTGTAAAGTAAAAAAAAAAAAAACGGAAAAAGCCGTCGAGTAAAGGTGATGCCGGCACGAGACGATTCGTAACGACGATTTTTAGCACAAAACAGCGTTGCAACATTGGTTTGGGTGCTTGCAACACTGTTTCCATATTTCAACGTTGTGTTGCGCTAAAAGTTGTCTTTGCGTTTGTCCTGTGTAACATCACCTTTATGGATCAGGCAACGCGCTCTGCTGTTGCTAGTGTTCTTCTTCAAGGTGATGTTAGGCTAGACCATTCGGAACGATGATTTTATGCGCAACGCATCGTTGCGATGTTGGTACAATGTTGTAACTCCGTGTTGCCCTAAAAATCGTCGTTAAGAATCGTCTCGTGTAACATCACTTAAAGCATGTTTGTCCATCTTCGAAGAATCTGTTCAAAGATTGATTTCTTCCTGTTTAATGCAACAAAAGCTCAGCTGTAGGATTAGCGAGTTTCGATAAACCTTGAAAGTTCACAGCGCACCTTAACATGCATACCTTTTTATGTATACAACCTGTATTTTACTGAAACTGTTCTGAACACGTACACTATAAATGTGAGGAGGTAAAGTACATGTGGGATTTTAACTCCTGCGTGTGAAAAGTCCTTTCTTGAAAGAAAGGAATATGCTATTTGTTAAAAAAATCCCCATGACAGCCCAGTTAAATTCGCGTTTCGGTGAGTCTAGTAGTTTCGCAATGCACTATGATTTTAGTTAACAAATTAGGCGTGTGCACGGTACGTGAGCATTCATGAAAAGCAAGCAGCAAGATATCTTGAATATATTATCAAGCACGAGCATTTTCCACATCGCATTTCAAAACAAGATGGACAGAAGTACTTGAACTGGTGGGTTGTGCATCGACCCGCGATCACGATTCAGAACTAGAGAGCTCTGATTAGAAGGCTTTTTGCTGAGAAAAATCCCGTCGTAGCCAGGTTTCGAAGTTATACACATTGTTTTCATCAATTTGAATGTGGTTTTTAAATGTATGCTAATATCTCAGCCGTGTTTACGCCTGAAGAAAAACAAAAAACATTTTCTCTTAACGTTCCACCATTCTTTTCAAGGATGGTAAAAGTCATGTCTGCTCAAAAATGTAAATGTTTTCTGCTAAAAAAAACCGATTCAAAAACAGCCAACAAAAACAGCGAAACTAATAGTAGTTTAGCCCTTGAATCCATAATAGCTACAATAAGTTAAATTGTCGTTAGAATGCTCTTGCTTGGCACAAGCACTGTATTTCGTTTTATTAAACTGTGAAGAGGCCAAATCAGTGAGCAAAATGTGGCGCTTTATTCGCCACCAACTCATTGTCGTGAAGGAGAACTGTGCTGCACCCCAATGACGGTGCAAAATCCTTTGTTTTTGTCTCAGAAGTGACTGACTAAACTTATGCCCACTTTTTTATTCATCCATAACGGAATGCTATTGATGTTTGCGTACAAAAAAGATATAACACACATTCAGCACATAAACAGCAAAAATTTAAAAACTTGGGAATCCTTTTCATTTTACGCCATTTCTTAACTTTAAACACCCTCAAACAAATATATTACTCACTTATCTACCCCTTCCTTCACTATGGAATTATGAGTTGGGGAAACACATACCCAAGTAGATTAACTAAGGTTCGGACAAAACAAAATAAATGTATTCGCTGCATATTTTTTAGCCATAATAGAGAAAGTAGTGCACCCTACCTCAAACTTCTAGATATATTTAACATAGAGCTCACAAAATCTCACAAAATGAAGCCAATATCCCTGAAGTGTTTCAAAACTGCCTCGTAAAGGTGTCTGATATTCACTCATACAATACCAGATATGCCTCAAATCTTAACTTTCATGTACCACGTGTAAAGTCAAATTACGGCAAACACACATTTAAGTTTCCCATAACCAAAACTTTGGAAGAGATTCCTACTAAGGTAAAAACACTTAGCTACCATAACTTCCAAAAAGAATATAAGCGAATTCTAGTTAACTCTAAAAGGTAAAAATTGTAATATGACTGTCTGACATAACCTGACTGCTGGCATAATCGTCCATAGTTTTCCATGGCACTAAGCGCACGTTTATTGTGTATTTCCAATCATAATATAGCGGTGGTTAGCTCGAAAGCTAAGCTCCTCTGACCACCGTACACTTCTACCCAAGCCATTAATTTTCCTTTTTTTCCTTCTTCTTCTCCTTTATTAGTTTATTCCTACCTTACTATATATAATGTAAACATTTTATAAAGTGTGAATAATAAAATTGAATTGAATTGAAATCTTGGATGTGCGGCTTGTTTGCTTCATGTCCTCCAGACTATAACCCCCGTAGTCAAGTATTAGCTGGATATTAAGTGACTTGTAAAACAAAGTTCTCAGCTTTCAGTCACAGAAATTTATCTGTTCTTTTCAAAAGGCCAAGTCGCTTTCCTATATTCGATACGTTGTTTAAAAACAGTTGTCTGTCTTTATGCCAAGTAATTTAGTATCGGCTACAGAATCAAGTTGAACGTCATCTGTTCTCACATCAAGATTTCTGCCGTTCAAGCAGTTAGCCCCAAACTTATGCTGTAGACAATCGCTTGCATTGGTCCAAATTTGGCATCTACAATTCACTCAAGTAATGTTGATTTTCACATGAAGTTACTAACATTCAAACTACAAAACTATCGATCTTACTGAGATTTTACTTTCATGATGTATTAGAGCAGCTGAAAAATAATTTTCATACAAATTTTCGCTTCAAAAGGGTTCTTGGTTTTGTGATAGAGTACGCTTGAATTTCTAAGCTACTGCGTAACGTGGCATTTGCATGACGGCCGAGAGAGAGCTGTCTTGTAGGTTAAAAAGTGACGTATTTCGGGTAATTTTGCTATCTAAACAGGTCATGTAATTAGAAAAAGTATTACATTAATGTTTATGAATTCCTCGAGGAATAAATTCACGCTTTTGTACCAAAACTCGGTAACAGATGTATTTGTTGGTTTCCGTCCGCCATCTTGGTGCTCATCCAGGTGGGCACCGGCATGGCGTCTCCATACAAATCTCTATAAATTTGGGTAAAACATTTCTTTAGATATCTCGTGTACGAAATATTCTTCTGGCCTGAATCTTGGCGAGGGTCTTTGTATATTTACCTCCTTTTATTTCCCAGATTCCGGACTTTATCTATTCAACGGTTTCGATTTTTATTTTGATCTAGTTTGAATGACGTGGCACTGAAAACCAGCAATAATACCTAATGCTTTCTCCCCAGTAAATCGTAGTTCTAGTTTTTTTTCTTTCCCCAGTGGATTCAGCGCAAGCTGAGTTAGCACTATCTGGCCTTCATAGGCACAAAGCCACTATAGATATCCCTAACTATCTCATCAAGATCTGCTTTCCACTCCCCTCACAAACGTTTGCAATAACTAACACTTGGGAAGAGATTCCTAGTAAGATAAAAACACTTAGCTACCATAAGTTCAAAAGAGAATACAAGCGAATTCTAGTTAACTCTCAAATGTAACAATGTAATATGACTATTTCGCATAAAATGACTGCTGACATAATCGTCCGTGGCACAAGCGCTCATTTATTATATATTTCCACTCATAATATGGCGATGGTTAGCTCGAAAGCTAAGCTCCTCTGACCACCGTACACTTCTACCCAAGCCATTAATTTTCTTTTTTTTTCCTTCTTCTTCTCCTTTATTACTGTATTCCTACCTTGCTATATATAATGTAAATATTTTATAAAAGTGTGTATAAAATTGAATTGAATTGAATTGACGAGAATCATCAGCAAACGCAAAGGCAAACGCAACTTACATATGAGCTTCTGGGAGCGAAAACTCGAACTTACCCTATGGTTATGTGGAAGACGAGCTCAGAGCACTAGCCTAATCACCAATGAACCGACTGCTGAGGTATACTTTAGAAAGTAGAAGTAATTGATTATGTAACTGAAAACGAAGCAGCGTACTTACCACGGAAACTGCGAGGTAATGTTATCTTTCACGCAACCAGCACGGCAGTCAAACGAAAGTTTTGCGCTTGTTAGCTCTAATCAATGCTCAATTTTCTGTAGGAGTCATAGGACCGTGAAATCTCGACATTCTGACTCTTTTCCAATCGTGAGGCAATGAACCATTCAACCGCTAGATTATTCTTTTTTTCTGTAAACCGCATTTGCTTCAAAAACGGTGCAGGTAAAAGGCGGAATGACTGCAAAATTGTATATGACATGGCTTGCGAAATAACATAATTATGCGGAATAAGACTCGTACCCAGTCGCTATTTATGTGTTTTGGGGGTGAGAGAAGAGTGGGGGTTAGGTTGAGGCGTGCGCAAGGTCTCATGGGAAGGGACGAAGGAAAAATAGCGACTGGCAGATTTCGTTCCAAAATGGCGGCTCGAGAAGAAAGCGCATTGTCGCGCGATGTAAATAATGCCTTTAATGAAGAGAAATTGGCCTGCCAACACCGCAGTTATACCGTAAATAATATCTTCGTAGCAACGTCAGAGTACCCGGTCGCAAACTTTCGTGTGAAGTTTAGCGATAATTATCTTCTATAAAACTGACGGTATTTTTTCAATCATATGGTTCGGTCACCCGGGTTTCTCTTTGGATGCAGCACGCGTTTATTCAAACAAGCTTCATTGCGAGGAAGCAAGGTCACCATCCTGGAACACATTTATCACCACAGTGTCGTGAAGGTAGAAATTCAAGCAATAATGCCATCTTATATTGTTCTGGTTGATCCTAAAATTCTATAAAACTTGTCTGTTAATTAATTAAGGTTATTATGAATCATTTATATTTTCTGTTAAATAAAAGTATGACCCATCGTTTGTGGAAATGCCTTCCATTAACCAGCCTTCAATTAAATTTACAGATCAAAAAACTTATGAGGCTTTGCCTCCTCTTCTTCATCCTCGGAGACCCAGGGGCAGTCAGTCGTGGCGGGAGAAAAGGTGGGATGAAAGTTTTCAAGTACGGGCAAGAGAGCCGCTGGGTACCGACTCTCACCAAACTATTTCCAAAAATTCAAGCGGATGCCGGCTCCTGATTGGGCACAAAAAATGCTTTGTATTATTGTGCCTAATCGGCGAACAGTTTCTCCTGAGTTCTTTTCGTGTGTTTGTACACGACGGCTATTGCCCGGTTCGTTCACCAAGCTTGTGCGTGCAAGGGAAACTTTTATTTTCTACTTTCCTAAATGGAAACGAAGGAACTACAGATGAGTCGGAAAAAAGTTTGGGATCCTGTCAGCGGGAGCAATTCAATTTGCCACGAGAATATTCTGTTTTTGACGGATCACAATGTATCGTAAATAATAGGAAGTTTAAGATGCGGCGGCGACGAGAAAGTCAAATAAGCAATAGCTTGATAAGGCAAAACAACAACTTTGCACGTGCATCACGCTTTTTTGTACATTTCTTTGCTGTCAACTGCACGACTATCCGTGAAAATGCCTAATTTCACGTTTTGTGAAGGACGTAAACAAGCAATGACAAAATTCATTCTCTTCATGAACTTGGATATGTTTGATAGAAATCCAGCTCCAGAAGAGCTCGCTTGCATGTGACAAAGTAAGCGAGTTGGACTAATCACGGTAGAGACTGAAAAAATGTGAATTCACTTTTCCATGCGACGTTTTCGTGGCTGACAGCCGTCGTTGTATCTTTTAAAAAATCCCCGATATTTACGCAAGACGTGACCGATTCAAGAGTGAATACCTGTTGTAAGCTCAAGCTTGTATTTTTAGAAAGCGTCTTTAGTCTTCGGGCAGACAGTATTTTGAAATCAGACGGGGATTTTATATCAAACCGAAAGTTTCCTGACTGCGTGCATTTCTTTGGTGCATGAACCAGACAAGCCGTGATCGAGACAATAGCCGTCGTGTACGACCCACGAAAAGAACTCAGGAGAAACTGTTCGTCGATTGAGCACAATAATACAAAGCATTTTTTGTGCCCATTCAGGAGCCGGTATCCGCTTGAATTTCTGGAAATAGTTGGGTGAGAGTCGGTACCCAGGGACTCTTTCGCCCCTACTTGAAAACGTTCGTCCCACCTTTTCTCCCGACCCGACTGACTTCCCCTGGGTCTCCGAGGATGCCTTTTCTTAAGCTTGTGCTAGTTTCTATTTTTTTGTAGTTCAACATAGACACAGTATTCCAAAAAGTTATCTCGAGTTCAGTAAATGAAGACATTTCAAGAGGCATCAAAATATTTTTACTAGGCTAGGCTGAATAGTAGAAGAAAGGGAAAGGGTTTGTCATTTTTTTTAATAGAAACTTGTCATGACAAGTTTAATGACCACACGACAGTTTGATTACCAGAACAGTAGTTTATAATTGACAAATCCAAGGATTACAAGAGTAAAATTATTCATTTTTTTTTTTTGCCTTCTGGGAAAAGTGGAATAGGGGGTAAAGGTGACCCTAACTTAAATTTCTAGCTATATGTAAAATACATGAAACTACTTTATCCATCCATTGTTAAACATTGGAGCTCAGAAGGTAACCAAGGAAATAGAGGGTAGGCAAACTGGAAAAAAGCTAGTTTTGTCCGTGGGCGGCAATACTTTAATTTCGACAGTTTAAGGTAAAATATTAAGATAATGTCTAAATCATTTGTGAACTGTGATATTTTTTTGCCTAAATATCTCTCTTCGATCAAATGTGACAATTAGGCCAGATTTATACTAGCGATGTAAAAATTTCCTCCGTCTATGTTGAAACCGAACAAACCTCGCGGGTATCCGCTTTGGCGGGTGATCTCCCTGAGAGATTATTGAGTTGTTGTTTTCATTATTTATTCATCAAGTTCTCAGTTGTAATGATTTTTCGGTAGTATTGTTCTTATTTATTGTTTATTGAGTGGGTCGGCTAAAATTAAAGCCGAAGAGTGAAGCTCCAATGCAATATTTTCGAAGTCTGTTTAATATTATGCTTTCGACAGTGCACGTGAATAGCAACTACGTTGGGTGTCGACTTAAGATAAACTGGATTAAGTGTCAAAGATGAAAGATTGCTCAATAAAACGAGCATTGTTGACAGCTTTAAGATAGGCTCAGGGTCTCTTGATGTAATATAACCCTTGGTTCAAAACAATAGACTTGGCGCCTCGCCCTTCAGAAATATGCGAAGATCGCGACGTTGAACGTCGCTATCCCCCGAAAATCGAGCCTGCGGCTTGTAATGACTACACCAGCAACACTAACTACACCAACTATACCAACTACATCAACTACACTAACTACGCCAGCTACACCAAACATTAACTTATCATACTACACCAAGTCATTAACTTTGTTCTACTATACTAAATACATCTCTAAATTCGCGACAGTTATCATGAATCTATTACCGCTATTAATTAGTTGGTCTAGTTGGTGTAGTTAGTGTAGTTGGTGTAGTATGTGCAGTTGGTGTAGTTGGTGTAGTTCCTCTACTTGGTGTAGTTGATAAGTTACAATTTACGTATTTTTGGTTATTATCTGTTAGAATAAAATCTTGTATAACTACAAAAACTACAGCAACTACACCAAACTATACCGAACTACACCAACTACTCCAAAATACCTCAACCTACACAAAAATACAACCTACACAAAAATACAATCTACACCAAAATACAGCAACCACACCAACTATGACAACTACAGTAACTACAGCAACTACACTAACTACAACAACTACAGTAACAACACAAACTACAGTAACTTCAGCAACTACACATACTACAGCAACTACACTAATTACACCAACTACACTAAATATAGAAAGTACAGCAACTACACAAACTACAGCAGCTACACTAACTACACCAACAACACATACTACACCAACTACACTAACTACAGCAACTACACTAACTACCGTAAGTACACCAACTACATTAACTACAGTAACTACACAAACTACACCAACTCCACCAACCAGATATACTACACTAACTACATATACCACACCACCTACACAAACTACAGCAACTACACCAACTACACATACTACACCGACTGTACTAACTACAGGAACTACAGGAACTGCAGCAACTACAGCAATTTCACCAACTACAACAACAACACCAACTACCTGTACTACACCAACTACTCTAACTACACCAACTACAGTAACTTTACCAACTACAGCAGCTACACAGACTACAGTAACCACAGCAACTACAGTAACTACACCAATTACATATACTACACTAACTACACCAAGCACACTAACTACACCAACTACAGCAACTACAGCAACTACGAATACTGCACCAACTACATATACTACACCAACTATACATACTACACCAACCACACTAACTACAGCAACTACATCAACTACACCTTACTACACAAACTACACTAACTACACCAACTACAGCAACTACAGTAACTGCACCAACTACACCTAGCTACACCAACTACGCATAAACATAACTAAACATACTACAGTAACTACACCAACTACAACAACTACAGTAACTACACCGACTACACCAACTGCACATACAACACCAACTACGGCAACTACAGCTACTACACCAACTACAGTAACTACACCAACTACAGTAACTACAGCAACTACACCAACTACAGGAACTACAGCAACTACACTAACTTCACCAACTACACCAACTACACATACTACAGTAACTACACCAACTACACCAACTACAGCAACTACACCAACTCCATATACTACACCAACTACACCGACTACAGCAACTACACATACTATACCAACTACACCAACTACACATACTACACATACTACAGCAACTACATCAACTACACCAACTACAGCAATTACACTAACTACCCCAACTACACATACTACAGCAACTACACTAACTACACCAGCTGCAGCAACTACATATACTACACCAACTACACTAGGTACACCAGCTACTGTAACTACACCAACTACACCAAACATCAACTTTATCATAGTACACCAAGTCATTATTAAATACGTCTCTGTATTTGTGACGGTTATCATGAATCATTACCTTTTCGGGGGCTCTGATTGGCTACTGAATCAGTGAATATCTTGTACTATTCACTGATTCACCTCCAGTTTCTCCGAGCGAGCGACGCCAAACTCACGTAAGTTGCGACAAGAGAGAATGGTCTTGGTGTAAAGTAAAAAAAAAAAAAACGGAAAAAGCCGTCTAGTAAAGGTGATGCCGGCACGAGACGATTCGTAACGACGATTTTTAGCACAAAACAGCGTTGCAACATTGGTTTGGGTGCTTGCAACACTGTTTCCATATTTCAACGTTGTGTTGCGCTAAAAGTTGTCTTTGCGTTTTTCCTGTGTAACATCACCTTTATGGATCAGGCAACGCGCTCTGCTGTTGCTAGTGTTCTTCTTCAAGGTGATGTTAGGCTAGACCATTCGGAACGATGATTTTATGCGCAACGCATCGTTGCGATGTTGGTACAATGTTGTAACTCCGTGTTGCCCTAAAAATCGTCGTTAAGAATCGTCTCGTGTAACATCACTTAAAGCATGTTTGTCCATCTTCGAAGAATCTGTTCAAAGATTGATTTCTTCCTGTTTAATGCAACAAAAGCTCAGCTGTAGGATTAGCGAGTTTCGATAAACCTTGAAAGTTCACAGCGCACCTTAACATGCATACCTTTTTATGTATACAACCTGTATTTTACTGAAACTGTTCTGAACACGTACACTATAAATGTGAGGAGGTAAAGTACATGTGGGATTTTAACTCCTGCGTGTGAAAAGTCCTTTCTTGAAAGAAAGGAATATGCTATTTGTTAAAAAAATCCCCATGACAGCCCAGTTAAATTCGCGTTTCGGTGAGTCTAGTAGTTTCGCAATGCACTATGATTTTAGTTAACAAATTAGGCGTGTGCACGGTACGTGAGCATTCATGAAAAGCAAGCAGCAAGATATCTTGAATATGTTATCGAGCACGAGCATTTTCCACATCGCATTTCAAAACAAGATGGACAGAAGTATTTGAACTGGTGGGTTGTGCATCGACCCGCGATCACGATTCAGAACTAGAGAGCTCTGATTAGAAGGCTTTTTGCTGAGAAAAAAAATCCGTCGTAGCCAGGTTTCGAAGTTATACACATTGTTTTCATCAATTTGAATGTGGTTTTAAATGTATGCTAATATCTCAGCCGTGTTTACGCCTGAAGAAAAACAAAAAACATTTTCTCTTAACGTTCCACCATTCTTTTCAAGGATGGTAAAAGTCATGTCTGCTCAAAAATGTAAATGTTTTCTGCTAAAAAAAACCGATTCAAAAACAGCCAACAAAAACAGCGAAACTAATAGTAGTTTAGCCCTTGAATCCATAATAGCTACAATAAGTTAAATTGTCGTTAGAATGCTCTTGCTTGGCACAAGCACTGTATTTCGTTTTATTAAACTGTGAAGAGGCCAAATCAGTGAGCAAAATGTGGCGCTTTATTCGCCACCAACTCATTGTCGTGAAGGAGAACTGTGCTGCACCCCAATGACGGTGCAAAATCCTTTGTTTTTGTCTCAGAAGTGACTGACTAAACTTATGCCCACTTTTTTTTATTCATCCATAACGGAATGCTATTGATGTTTGCGTACAAAAAAGATATAACACACATTCAGCACATAAACAGCAAAAATTTAAAAACTTGGGAATCCTTTTCATTTTACGCCATTTCTTAACTTTAAACACCCTCAAACAAATATATTACTCACTTATCTACCCCTTCCTTCACTATGGAATTATGAGTTGGGGAAACACATACCCAAGTAGATTAACTAAGGTTCGGACAAAACAAAATAAATGTATTCGCTGCATATTTTTTTTAGCCATAATAGAGAAAGTAGTGCACCCTACCTCAAACTTCTAGATATATTTAACATAGAGCTCACAAAATCTCACAAAATGAAGCCAATATCCCTGAAGTGTTTCAAAACTGCCTCGTAAAGGTGTCTGATATTCACTCATACAATACCAGATATGCCTCAAATCTTAACTTTCATGTACCACGTGTAAAGTCAAATTACGGCAAACACACATTTAAGTTTCCCATAACCAAAACTTTGGAAGAGATTCCTACTAAGGTAAAAACACTTAGCTACCATAACTTCCAAAAAGAATATAAGCGAATTCTAGTTAACTCTAAAAGGTAAAAATTGTAATATGACTGTCTGACATAACCTGACTGCTGGCATAATCGTCCATAGTTTTCCATGGCACCAAGTGCACGTTTATTGTGTATTTCCAATCATAATATAGCGGTGGTTAGCTCGAAAGCTAAGCTCCTCTGACCACCGTACACTTCTACCCAAGCCATTAATTTTCCTTTTTTTCCTTCTTCTTCTCCTTTATTAGTTTATTCCTACCTTACTATATATAATGTAAACATTTTATAAAGTGTGAATAATAAAATTGAATTGAATTGAAATCTTGGATGTGCGGCTTGTTTGCTTCATGTCCTCCAGACTATAACCCCCGTAGTCAAGTATTAGCTGGATATTAAGTGACTTGTAAAACAAAGTTCTCAGCTTTCAGTCACAGAAATTTATCTGTTCTTTTCAAAAGGCCAAGTCGCTTTCCTATATTCGATACGTTGTTTAAAAACAGTTGTCTGTCTTTATGCCAAGTAATTTAGTATCGGCTACAGAATCAAGTTGAACGTCATCTGTTCTCACATCAAGATTTCTGCCGTTCAAGCAGTTAGCCCCAAACTTATGCTGTAGACAATCGCTTGCATTGGTCCAAATTTGGCATCTACAATTCACTCAAGTAATGTTGATTTTCACATGAAGTTACTAACATTCAAACTACAAAACTATCGATCTTACTGAGATTTTACTTTCATGATGTATTAGAGCAGCTGAAAAATAATTTTCATACAAATTTTCGCTTCAAAAGGGTTCTTGGTTTTGTGATAGAGTACGCTTGAATTTCTAAGCTACTGCGTAACGTGGCATTTGCATGACGGCCGAGAGAGAGCTGTCTTGTAGGTTAAAAAGTGACGTATTTCGGGTAATTTTGCTATCTAAACAGGTCATGTAATTAGAAAAAGTATTACATTAATGTTTATGAATTCCTCGATCAGGAATAAATTTACGCTTTTGTACCAAAACTCGGTAACAGATGTATTTGTTGGTTTCCGTCCGCCATCTTGGTGCTCATCCAGGTGGGCACCGGCATGGCGTCTCCATACAAATCTCTATAAATTTGGGTAAAACATTTCTTTAGATATCTCGTGTACGAAATATTCTTCTGGCCTGAATCTTGGCGAGGGTCTTTGTATATTTACCTCCTTTTATTTCCCAGATTCCGGACTTTATCTATTCAACGGTTTCGATTTTTATTTTGATCTAGTTTGAATGACGTGGCACTGAAAACCAGCAATAATACCTAATGCTTTCTCCCCAGTAAATCGTAGTTCTAGTTTTTTTTCTTTCCCCAGTGGATTCAGCGCAAGCTGAGTTAGCACTATCTGGCCTTCATAGGCACAAAGCCACTATAGATATCCCTAACTATCTCATCAAGATCCAGCAATCTGCTTTCCACTCCCCTCACAAACGTTTGCAATAACTAACACTTGGGAAGAGATTCCTAGTAAGATAAAAACACTTAGCTACCATAAGTTCAAAAGAGAATACAAGCGAATTCTAGTTAACTCTCAAAGGTAACAATGTAATATGACTATTTCGCATAAAATGACTGCTGACATAATCGTCCGTGGCACAAGCGCTCATTTATTATATATTTCCACTCATAATATGGCGATGGTTAGCTCGAAAGCTAAGCTCCTGTGACCACCGTACACTTCTACCCAAACCATTAATTTTTTTTTTTTCCTTCTTCTTCTCCTTTATTACTGTATTCCTACCTTGCTATATATAATGTAAATATGTTATAAAAGTGTGTATAAAATTGAATTGAATTGAATTGACGAGAATCATCAGCAAACGCAAAGGCAAACGCAACTTACATATGAGCTTCTGGGAGCGAAAACTCGAACTTACCCTATGGTTAGGTGGAAGACGAGCTCAGAGCACTAGCCTAATCACCAATGAACCGACTGCTGAGGTATACTTTAGAAAGTAGAAGTAATTGATTATGTAACTGAAAACGAAGCAGCGTACTTACCACGGAAACTGCGAGGTAATGTTATCTTTCACGCAACCAGCACAGCAGTCAAACGAACGTTTTGCGCTTGTTAGCTCTAATCAATGCTCAATTTTCTGTACTAGTCATAGGACCGTGAAATCTCGACATTCTGACTCTTTTCCAATCGTGAGGCAATGAACCATTCAATCGCTAGATTATTCTTTTCTGTAAACCGCATTTGCTTCAAAAACGGTGGGAGTAAAAGGCGGAATGACTGCAAAATTGTATATAACATGGCTTGCGAAATAACATAATTATGCGGAATAAGACTCGTACCCAGTCGCTATTTATGTGTTTTGGGGGTGAGAGAAGAGTGGGGGTTAGGTTGAGGCGTGCGCGAGGTCTCATGGGAAGGGACGAAGGAAAAATAGCGACTGGCAGATTTCGTTCCAAAATGGCGGCTCGAGAAGAAAGCGCATTGTTGCGCGATGTAAATAATTCCTTTAATGAAGAGAAATTGGCCAGCCAACACCGCAGTTATACCGTAAATAATATCTTCGTAGCAACGTCAGAGTACCCGGTCGCAAACTTTCGTGTGAAGTTTAGCGATAATTATCTTGTATAAAACTGACGGTATTTTTTCAATCATATGGTTTGGTCACCCGGGTTTCTCTTTGGATGCAGCACGCGTTTATTCAAACAAGCTTCATTGCGAGGAAGCAAGGTCACCATCCTGGAACACATTTATCACCACAGTGTCGTGAAGGTAGAAATTCAAGCAATAATGCCATCTTATATTGTTCTGGTTGATCCTAAAATTCTATAAAACTTGTCTGTTAATTAATTAAGGTTATTATGAATCATTTATATTTTCTGTTAAATAAAAGTATGACCCATCGTTTGTGGAAATGACTTCCATTAACCAGCCTTCAATTAAATTTACAGATCAAAAAACTTATGAGGCTTTGCCTCCTCTTCTTCATCCTCGGAGACCCAGGGGCAGTCAGTCGTGGCGGGAGAAAAGGTGGGATGAAAGTTTTCAAGTACGGGCAAGAGAGCCGCTGGGTACCGACTCTCACCAAACTATTTCCAAAAATTCAAACGGATGCCGGCTCCTGATTGGGCACAAAAATGCTTTGTATTATTGTGCCTAATCGGCGAACAGTTTCTCCTGAGTTCTTTTCGTGTGTTTGTACACGACGGCTATTGCCCGGTTCGTTCACCAAGCTTGTGCGTGCAAGGGAAACTTTTATTTTCTACTTTCCTAAATGGAAACGAAGGAACTACAGATGAGTCGGAAAAAAAGTTTGGGATCCTGTCAGCGGGAGCAATTCAATTTGCCACGAGAATATTCTGTTTTTGACGGATCACAATGTATCGTAAATAATAGGAAGTTTAAGATGCGGCGGCGACGAGAAAGTCAAATAAGCAATAGCTTGATAAGGCAAAACAACAACTTTGCACGTGCATCACGCTTTTTTGTACATTTCTTTGCTGTCAACTGCACGACTATCCGTGAAAATGCGTAATTTCACGTTTTGTGAAGGACGTAAACAAGCAATGACAAAATTCATTCTCTTCATGAACTTGGATATGTTTGATAGAAATCCAGCTCCAGAAGAGCTCGCTTGCATGTGACAAAGTAAGCGAGTTGGACTAATCACGGTAGAGACTGAAAAAATGTGAATTCACTTTTCCATGCGACGTTTTCGTGGCTGACAGCCGTCGTGGTATCTTTTAAAAAATCCCCGATATTTACGCAAGACGTGACCGATTCAAGAGTGAATACCTGTTGTAAGCTCAAGCTTGTATTTTTAGAAAGCGTCTTTAGTCTTCGGGTAGACAGTATTTTGAAATCAGACGGGGATTTTATATCAAACCGAAAGTTTCCTGACTGCGTGCATTTCTTTGGTGCATGAACCAGACAAGCCGTGATCGAGACAATAGCCGTCGTGTACGACCCACGAAAAGAACTCAGGAGAAACTGTTCGTCGATTGAGCACAATAATACAAAGCATTTTTGTGCCCATTCAGGAGCCGGTATCCGCTTGAATTTCTGGAAATAGTTGGGTGAGAGTCGGTACCCAGGGACTCTTTTCGCCCCTACTTGAAAACGTTCGTCCCACCTTTTCTCCCGACCCGACTGACTTCCCCTGGGTCTCCGAGGATGCCTTTTCTTAAGCTTGTGCTAGTTTCTATTTTTTGTAGTTCAACATAGACACAGTATTCCAAAAAGTTATCTCGAGTTCAGTAAATGAAGACATTTCAAGAGGCATCAAAATATTTTTTACTAGGCTAGGCTGAATAGTAGAAGAAAGGGAAAGGGTTTGTCATTTTTTTTTAATAGAAACTTGTCATGACAAGTTTAATGACCACACGACAGTTTGATTACCAGAACAGTAGTTTATAATTGACAAATCCAAGGATTACAAGAGTAAAATTATTCATTTTTTTTTTTGCCTTCTGGGAAAAAGTGGAATAGGGGTAAAGGTGACCCTAACTTAAATTTCTAGCTATATGTAAAATACATGAAACTACTTTATCCATCCATTGTTAAACATTGGAGCTCAGAAGGTAACCAAGGAAATAGAGGGTAGGCAAACTGGAAAAAAAGCTAGTTTTGTCCGTGGGCGGCAATACTTTAATTTCGACAGTTTAAGGTAAAATATTAAGATAATGTCTAAATCATTTGTGAACTGTGATATTTTTTTGCCTAAATATCTCTCTTCGATCAAATGTGACAATTAGGCCAGATTTATACTAGCGATGTAAAAATTTCCTCCGTCTATGTTGAAACCGAACAAACCTCGCGGGTATCCGCTTTGGCGGGTGATCTCCTGAGAGATTATTGAGTTGTTGTTTTCATTATTTATTCATCAAGTTCTCAGTTGTAATGATTTTTCGGTAGTATTGTTCTTATTTATTGTTTATTGAGTGGGTCGGCTAAAATTAAAGCCGAAGAGTGAAGCTCAATGCAGAATTTTCGAAGTCTATTTAATATTATGCTTTCGACAGTGCACGTGAATAGCAACTACGTTGGGTGTCCACTTAAGATAAACTGGATTAAGTGTCAAAGATGAAAGATTGCTCAATAAAACGAACATTGTTGACAGCTTTAAGATAGGCTCAGGGTCTCTTGATGTAATATAACCCTTGGTTCAAAACAATAGACTTGGCGCCTCGCCCTTCAGAAATATGCGAAGATCGCGACGTTGAACGTCGCTATCCCCCGAAAATCGAGCCTGCGGCTTGTAATGACTACACCAGCAACACTAACTACACCAACTATACCAACTACATCAACTACACTAACTACACCAGCTACACCAAACATTAACTTATCATACTACACCAAGTCATTAACTTTGTTCTACTATACTAAATACATCTCTAAATTCGTGACAGTTATCATGAATCTATTACCGCTATTGATTAGTTGGTCTAGTTGGTGTAGTTGGTGTAGTATGTGCAGTTGGTGTAGTTGCTCTACTTGGTGTAGTTGATAAGTTACAATTTACGTATTTTTGGTTATTATCTGTTAGAATAAAATCTTGTATAACTACAAAAACTACAGCAACTACACCAAACTATACCGAACTACACCAACTACGCCAAAATACCTCAACCTACACCAAAATACAATCTACACCAAAATACAGCAACCACACCAACTATGACAACTACAGTAACAACACCAACTACAGTAACTACACCAACTACACTAACTACAGCAACTACACTAACTACAACAACTACAGTAACAACACAAACTACAGTAACTTCAGCAACTACACATACTACACCAACTACACTAATTACACCAACTACACTAAATATAGAAAGTACAGCAACTACACAAACTACAGCAGCTGCAGTAAGGTACAGCAGCTACACTAACTACACCAACAACACATACTACACCAACTGCACTAACTACAGCAACTACACTAACTACCGTAAGTACACCAACTACATTAACTACAGTAACTACACAAACTACACCAACTACACCAACCAAATACACTACACTAACTACATATACCACACCACCTACACAAACCTACACCAACTACACATACCACACCGACTGTACTAACTACAGGAACTATAGGAACTACAGGAACTACAGCAATTTCACCAACTACACCAACAACACCAACTACCTGTACTACACCAACTACTCTAACTACACCAACTACAGTAACTTTACCAACTACAGCAACTACACAGACTACAGTAACCACAGCAACTACAGTAACTACACCAATTACATATACTACACCAACTACACCAAGCACACTAACTACACCAACTACAGCAACTACACCAACTACGTATACTACACCAACTACATATACTACACCAACTATACATACTACACCAACCACACTAACTACAGCAACTACATCAACTACACCTTACTACACAAACTACACTATGTACACCAACTACAGCAACTACAGTAACTGCACCAACTACACCAACTACACATACTACAGTAACTACACCACCTACACCAACTACAGCAACTACACCAACTCCATATACTACACCAACTACACCGACTACAGCAACTACGCATACTATACCAACTACACCAACTACACATACTACACATACTACAGCAACTACATCAACTACACCAACTACAGCAATTACACTAACTACCCCAACTACACATACTACAGCAACTACACTAACTACACCAGCTGCAGCAACTACATATACTACACCAACTACACTAGGTACACCAGCTACTGTAACTACACCAACTACACCAAACATCAACTTTATCATAGTACACCAAGTCATTATTAAATACGTCTCTGTATTTGTGATGGTTATCATGAATCATTACCTTTTCGGGGGCTCTGATTGGCTGCTGAATCAGTGAATATCTTGTACTATTCACTGATTCACCTCCAGTTTCTCCGAGCGAGCGACGCCAAACTCACGTAAGTTGCGACAAGAGAGAATGGTCTTGGTGTAAAGTAAAAAAAAAAAAACGGAAAAAGCCGTCGAGTAAAGGTGATGCCGGCACGAGACGATTCGTAACGACGATTTTTAGCACAAAACAGCGTTGCAACATTGGTTTGGGTGCTTGCAACACTGTTTCCATATTTCAACGTTGTGTTGCGCTAAAAGTTGTCTTTGCGTTTTTCCTGTGTAACATCACCTTTATGGATCAGGCAACGCGCTCTGCTGTTGCTAGTGTTCTTCTTCAAGGTGATGTTAGGCTAGACCATTCGGAACGATGATTTTATGCGCAACGCATCGTTGCGATGTTGGTACAATGTTGTAACTCTGTGTTGCCCTAAAAATTGTCGTTAAGAATCGTCTCGTGTAACATCACTTAAAGCATGTTTGTCCATCTTCGAAGAATCTGTTCAAAGATTGATTTCTTCCAGTTTAATGCAACAAAAGCTCAGCTGTAGGATTAGCGAGTTTCGATAAACCTTGAAAGTTCACAGCTCACCTTAACATGCATACCTTTTTATGTATACAACCTGTATTTTACTGAAACTGTTCTGAACACGTACACTATAAATGTGAGGAGGTAAAGTACATGTGGGATTTTAACTCCTGCGTGTGAAAAGTCCTTTCTTGAAAGAAAGGAATACGCTATTTGTTAAAAAAAATCCCCATGACAGCCCAGTTAAATTCGCGTTTCGGTGAGTCTAGTAGTTTCGCAATGCACTATGATTTTAGTTAACAAATTAGGCGTGTGCACGGTACGTGAGCATTCATGAAAAGCAAGCAGCAAGATATCTTGAATATGTTATCGAGCACGAGCATTTTCCACATCGCATTTCAAAACAAGATGGACAGAAGTATTTGAACTGGTGGGTTGTGCATCGACCCGCGATCACGATTCAGAACTAGAGAGCTCTGATTAGAAGGCTTTTTGCTGAGAAAAATCCCGTCGTAGCCAGGTTTCGAAGTTATACACATTGTTTTCATCAATTTGAATGTGGTTTTTAAATGTATGCTAATATCTCAGCCGTGTTTACGCCTGAAGAAAAACAAAAAACATTTTCTCTTAACGTTCCACCATTCTTTTCAAGGATGGTAAAAGTCATGTCTGCTCAAAAATGTAAATGTTTTCTGCTAAAAAAAACCGATTCAAAAACAGCCAACAAAAACAGCGAAACTAATAGTAGTTTAGCCCTTGAATCCATAATAGCTACAATAAGTTAAATTGTCGTTAGAATGCTCTTGCTTGGCACAAGCACTGTATTTCGTTTTATTAAACTGTGAAGAGGCCAAATCAGTGAGCAAAATGTGGCGCTTTATTCGCCACCAACTCATTGTCGTGAAGGAGAACTGTGCTGCACCCCAATGACGGTGCAAAATCCTTTGTTTTTGTCTCAGAAGTGACTGACTAAACTTATGCCCACTTTTTTATTCATCCATAACGGAATGCTATTGATGTTTGCGTACAAAAAAGATATAACACGGGAGTGACTGAAGGGCTCAGATTCGGAGGATAGCGTGAAGACCTTAGGTCCGTGCGATTACGAAGTTTCAGTTCAGGGCGATCCCATTTAAGCTTAAATAGAGAAAACTGAATAGAGAATGTTCGCATTAAGAACAAGAGCGACTTGTTCTCTCAAAATGAATTTTAAGCGTTATCAGCCTAGTTTTAGCCTAGTTAGTTAGCCAGATCTGTTTTGAAAACGACAGGTCTCAGGCCTTGTGTTTACACTTTCTTCCCTCTCAACTCGTTTTTGTAAAATCTTGAATTTAATAGAAAACCGTACGAAGTTGAATGAGAAACACTGTACTTAATTACGCTTACTTACATTTCAGTGGCCGCCATGGTGTTATAAACTGTGTATAGAGAAAATAAAACAAACGATAGTTAGGCTAGTCGCATCGAAAGACCTGATAAAAATGGGCAAGTTCATTGATTGATGCTGAAACCAAATTTGGTGTCTTGCAAAATCTAGGCAATTCAGCAACTTTCCCGGCTTCAAACAACAAAAAATGCTCAAGTTTCGTCTCACGTTTCTAATATTGTCATGTTAACCATTAACTCTCGATCTCCTTGGGAGATGATCCCGGGTTTCATCTCGTGGCCGTTGGTGGAAAGTTAATAGTTAACAACATTAGAAACGTGAGACGAAACTTGAGCGTCTTATTTACTAACCGCCAGACAAGCAAACACATTTGACAACCAGCGATGTTAACCGTCTCTGATCGGATTCAAATCCCTTCCAAAACGACTCATAAAGACACAGGAACAAAGGTAAATGCATCTTATGATTTTATTAGCTTAAACAGCGTAAAAACATCTAATTTTTTCTATTAGCTAATACAGCGTTCGGGGTCCTTGTGGGAACATGGAACATTCTTTCTAAGTGACTCGCTGTTACAGTCAAAATAGGTCAAGCGTACCCCCCAAGATTCTATTACTGAATTGATTATTTGAAAAATGAATCCGTTAGTCGTTCCCGTAAAACTGGTGTCAAATTCAAAGGGGCATTTTTGCATGCGTAATGAGCAGTGAATATTTTACGAGAACTTCTCTGTATTTGGTCAGATTGAAAATCTTTGAATGGATTAAGTTTCTTAGAAGACATTTACATCAAATTCAGGAAAACGGAGCTGGTAGAAATTTCATAACTGCCTCGCGTGTGAATTCACGGCTCATTACACATGCAAGAGTGCAGAGATCAATCTGAAATCTACAACTACCAACGGATTCAACTTTTGAATAATAAATTCATTAATGATTCTTGGGGGGACGCTTGACTTGGTTTGACTGTAAATAGTGGTGATGTAAACATTGTTTGTCTCTATCAATTACCTTCATCCACTGATGAACACGATATAGCCGTGAGGTCTGAATTACACAATCTACCTACTGGAATAAAGTGATACTGATCAAGTAATCTTGGTGGGTGATTTCAATCTTCCGGATGTTTGTTGGTCTCACGGAACAGTTCGCGGAGCCATCGATACTTCTGATCGGAGATTGTTAAATGAAAAGAAGTGCATTGATTGTTTTGTTTCTTGTGGTCCCACGTGGCATATCACTGACGAAATCACAAGAAGGCGGGCATATAGTCAATAACAAAACCCAGACATGTACTTTAGACCAAATATTCACCTGTGACTCTGACATTATCAAGCAGATTACTTCAGGTCCCCCACTGCGTGGAAGTGATCATTTAACAGCAACGCTGGAAGTGAATTGTATGATAATGTGGAAGATCTGGGGTGCTTACCATTTGACAGAAAAATTCGGTTGGGGTGTCGAAAGCATTATGGTAAGCAATTTACCAGTTTACCGTAGAAATGCCAAATCCTTTAGGGTTTGAATTCAAAAAAAGGGCAAATTTGTGTAGCGTGAGTCTGGAACCGAGAAGGAACCGAATGAAAGGACTACGTCAAAACGTACTCCTCAATTTTCGGTTGGAATTTCCGAAAAGTGACCTTACCATTTACCTTCCATCCGGAATTTCCGACATTTTCTGTCAAATGGTAAGCACCCCTGGCTTCCAAGAAATTTAACTGGTCAAAGTGTGATGTTCCTAGATTAATCAGTACCCCTCGGCACATAGATTGGTCCTATTCTGAAGAGGCAATCCACTGAGTTGACATCATGTGCAGCGAACTCTAAAGTAAAATACTACATGCAATTCAATTCAAACAGAGATATCCTGAAGAGATATAATAAAATTATCTTATATTATCTTTGTAGCTCTCGGCCAGGGAGCGCGAAAAAAGAGCAAGGTGAGAATCTTGCGTCGTCTCTCACAACAATAACAAACAATACTTATTATTTTATTTTCATCGACTAGTTTATATTATTTTGCAAACTGTCCCTGATTACAATGCTTATGCGCAAATAGATCTTCTATCACCGGCAAGGGAAAAACAGACCGAAAGAGCCAGACAGCTACAGCACACAATGCAAATTTTACCGATTCGGAAGCTGCGGCCCCAGAATTGCCTCTGCGTTTATTGAAGTGAGCGCAGTGTATCGATTTTGTTATAAACCCGAACCTCACAGTTTTAAAATCCTGTATGATAATGTTTACATCTTCGATAATGGTTCTGTGTTTTGGCGGTAGAGATTTATAACAATTTATTCCCTTACGTAAGTTTACATGAAGATTTGGGTACACATAGCACACACTGCACGCGAGTTATTTTAACGGCATGCTTTCAGTTTCCGCACTGGGTTATGAAAAATGTTTTGTTTCCAAAGGTTATTACAATAATCAAACTTATTTACCTTTTATGGTCTAAATGGAACAAACTCTTCCTAGATTTGGCGTTACTCGCCTCACGTCGGCTTCCTCTTCGGCATGTTTTCTTAGCCCGTTTCCTGGGAGTTATGCTACTTCGCGGAGACGATCTCTTCATTCCAAGGCACTAGCAACGTCTCACAGCGGGAAAACTAACAGGGGTAGACCCGGGTAGACCCCGGTAGACCCCGGAATTTACAAAAAAGAAAGATTGAAGTAATTAAATGACCAAAATAACCCCATAGAACTGCTAACAGTAACCAGCAATGAATCCAAGAAGAACGACAAAAATAACACTCAAATCATCATGGCGGCCTGCACATGACCGAGCAATTCAAACTTGTCACAAACGTTCAAGAAAGCAAAATATTTAAAAGTAACGTAACTATTATCAAGATAAAAAGTTCCAACAACTTTCCACTTGGAATAAAGCGAAAATGTCATCATATACACCTCTGAAAATGGCTCTTTCCAAGAGTGAAAATTACTCTATAAATAACGCATTCTGATTGGCCGAATCTCGTGACG